CTGCTCACTGGACAACTCCTGGAAGCCGTTCGTGATGCCTCCAGGGGCCGTGTAGACACCCTTACCAGTTGAGTAGTACTCATCTTGCGAAGCTTGAACGTTGGTAGTGTTGAACATGAGGTAGTGGGTGGAGGCCTCAGGAACCACGGTGGCCGAGATGCTGTAAACATTGTGATCCATCATGCTGTGAGATGTCAGATAATTTGACTCTGATCGGGGAACTTGTTTGAATCTTACTGCTGGCCAACGTTTTCGTTGATTACCACTGGCTCTATATCAAAGGCCTTCAGTGTGGCTTGCGGACCAATTCCCTTCATCAAAATCAGCGAAGAGCGCGACCAGTAGAGCATCACTGGAAAAGTGATCTTACCGAAACCATCAACATCTGGGGAGACTGGAAGGTGCCCAAAGTCACGATGACTTCCTTAGAGGCTGAAATGACACGGTGCCGTCCAAGAGAGTGGTCGATGAAAACAACGCCACTTGCTATCGGACTTCCAGTGGCATTCCTTGTAAAGGCTATGGACTGAACTGGTGAGTCATGAAGGATTAGTAAGTTTGGGCGGTTGGTAATGGCCTTGTAGTAGTCATAAGCTGAGCTACGTCTGTACTTGGAGTTGATGGTAGCAGAGCCTTGCTTGACGCCCACATTCTTGCCAGTGTTCAAGTCCGCAACAATGGGAATATTGACAGCCTCGCACGCCTCAATGAAAGCGACACTTGAAGGTGGAACGAACCCCTGAAAACCAATCTCTAACGGGCCATCGGAGTAGGCTGCGGGGTCCCAGGTTTGGTAACGTTGATTGTAACCACTTCCATTGTTGGGCGGGTTGAAGTGAGTAGCCTGCGAGCTAAGTCAGGTCAAAGAAATCATTTGAGCCTATGGTCTGATTTGAATAAACCTTTATGAACTTGGGGAACACCTCTTCCCAACTCCAACCGGGGTTTCCAAGTTCAACCCAATGATCATAGACATGGGCCGAACCGCGGCCATAGTACAAGCCATTGAGAATGCTGCTGCCACCAAGACCACGGCCACCTGAGAGGTTAGGAGTCGATAGTATAGTATCACGAAGGGTCTCCAAACTTACGGTGGTAGGCAAGTTTTCGACCACCGAGGTACTCCTGTGGTTCAGTGTAAAAGTTCCAATCGATCGCGGTGCCTTGATAGGCTGTGAGCATACTGGTCTTGGATAGAGATGTCAATAAATACGGCACTTACCCGCGATGTATTCAACAGCACCGGGTGCCTCATGCATAGCAACGACATGAGGGTCAGGCCCAGCTTCCAGGACCAGTACTCGTTGATCGCCGGACTCGCTCAGACGATCCGCGAGAACAAGACCAGTTGTTCCGCCTTCATCTCAGATTCAGTCTCGAAATTGACGAATGATTTGGGAAGATCTTACATACCGCCGACAATAATGAAGTCATATTCAAGACCAAGAGCAGATCCGTTGTTTTGGGCTGCCTTTACGGCAACAGACAGCTGAGCAATAGACCCGAGAGCCACCGAAAGATGAAGACACCGCATTCTGGAGAAATTGGCATATGGGAGATCAATGAGAAGAGTGGTCTTGTGAGCTTGTAAATTTCAGTTGGCAAATCCAAGCCTTGAGATTGTGACATCTTATAGAGATTTCATCTCTCAGCACGCCAGGCTTGATCCTTACCTGGAGTTTTGAGTAAACCTTCGTTTCCTCCCTTTTCACGCGTCATTATCTTCTGACTCCCCTGCCTTCTTTCGGAAGTAAACGAGGGATTGGAATCCACGCTGATTCAGGAGTCATGCAAGTTCACAGATGCTGCTTTAAGCTGTGGTCAAGCAAGGGAACTTCAGGCATCCATTCGGGCACAATATACGATGGAAGATTACTCAGAAGCATGTTTCACAGTATGAGAAGAACAAAGAGCCTCCTCCGTGCATTGAACACTGTCTTCGAAATTTGACTAGTACCACTGGAGAACTCGTGATCTTCAGTCAGCAGTACAATCGTACCTTACCCACTCGACTGCTTGCATGGTGTGCTTGCCATGTTGTTAAGGGCGACTTAATGCCGATATTCTTACCATCTGCCAGTCGAGATAGGGCTCCTGAGGAGAAGGATATTGGTCCAACAAGCGACCAAAATTCATCTTGTCCCAACCTCCTTCAAGGCCATCGCTGATCGCCCCATCTACCGGAGAGGCGCAGCAAAGATGTGCTGAGTACCTCAGCCCAAAAGTCGGGGACACCGGACAAAAGATCCTTCCCGTTTGATGCCATCTCCCCTGCCTTGTCTGAGAAGTTGAAAGTACCTTCAGTGACTAATCTGACATAGCTCGGTTAGCCTCTCCATGCAGACTACCAGAGTGGGTAGCACGAATCTGAATCTGCGTTTCGAGTCCCCTGGTGTTCCGAAGTTTACCGATTGCGGAGAACGATGTCAATAATCATGTTGTTCCATGGCTTCATGCTTCTAAAGCCGCGTCCAAAGCCCATTTGTGCCGCAAAAGTTCTCACTATTCAGCCAGCCCGTCGAATGTCAGCACCTGGAACCAATTAAACACCAAGCTTTTGGGCCACGCAGCAAGGCGGGCTGAAGGATCTTGGCAAGGATGACATCCTGTAGCTAGGAGGGCAGCCTGCCTAGCTGCGTGAGGCAGAAGTCCTGGGGAAATTCACCCGATTGGAACCCACCCCACGAACACCCCGCAGCATATGCATCTTAGACCGCTTCTGATTCATCGCCTTATGGACGCTAGGTTCGTGATCCTGCGATGATTACGCGCAACAGGGCACGCACAAAACCTCATCTATTCAGAGTCTTCACTTCCACATTCATGTTGGGCACAACCCCGATTGGACAGAGCATGACGGATCCGAGTCAGCTTTGGAACTTGGGAACCCGATCTCGGTTCAAACTCTATCACTTATCATAAGCTACATAGAGGGACTACTAAGCATAATCGAGCTTGCGTAAGGTACTAGGCAAGGGCGAGCCTATAATCATATCGTCTTCTCCACACCAGTGAGAGGTAGATCTCAAGTCACTATGAGGTACTTCTCTCACAGTCTTGGGACGATCAAAAACGTCAAAAAAGGAAGTCGCAAATGTCCAAGGTCATTTGTAAAGGTGGCAAAGATGTCGTGATGCGCTAAAGTCCGTGTCAGCCCGAGATGTGACGGATTGGTAATGACGGAGACAAGTGGACCAGCCTCGCGTCTCTCTCGGCTTCATCGCGGCGGGGGCCAAATCGGAACATGAGGTTCGTTTACTGAAAGCCTTGGTAATGTCAGCATAGTCACCCTGTCAGATTAGGGCGTCTGCAGTTGACTGGAATTACCGAAACCGTCTGGTTGGGGCCTAGAAAAATACGCCTCGTTGAGGAAAGACCAGTTACGTTACATGGAATGTGCCACGAAGCCGATATTTACAAAGAAATTGTAGACAACAGAAAACTTTCAAGAATTTCTCATTCCCAATCCTTAACATTACAAGGTGAAGCGAAGTAACAGAACGACATCGCCTAAATCTTGCAAAAAATGGGATCTCACAGCACAAACCTACATGTAAGGTCTTGATGTCGTTGATTTGGTCGCCAGCTGTACTCATATGTGTCATTAGAAGGTCACCACTCTGCTCCTCGACTGCGACAACACCCTCGTCCAGTCCGAGACGTTAGCATTCGAGGCATGCGCTGATCTCACCAACGAGATTCTCGCTGCTCGCAATATCGGTCTAAATTTTACAGGCCGCCAGCTACAGCATGAATTTGTCGGGCAGAGCTTTCCAGCCATGGTAAATGAAATTTGTTTCCCTGAATTTGGATTTTGAGTAACGGAATCTGTAGATGCGCTCGCTGGAAGTCAAATATGGAGTCTCGGCCAACCTCTCCGATTCTGAGCTGGGGCATTACGCCCTCATGGAAGACGATCGTGTCATCTCCAAGCTTGTGGAGAAACTTCAGCCATGTGAGGGAGCCAATGCTGAGCTGGAGCGACTGGCAGCTGCTGGTAATCATCGACTTGCCGTCGTGTCTTCGTCCGCACTGCGCCGTGTGCGTGCGTCACTGGAGAAGACTGAGCAGGCCAAATTCTTCCATTCCGATGATGTCTTTAGCGCTGCTGACTCGCTGTCTGTACCTGCGTCCAAGCCTGACCCAGCCGTGTACATCCACGCTCTCAAGGTAATGGGGAAGGATTCCGGCGAGTGCATTGCAGTTGAGGACAGTCGGTCTGGTGCGACTTCTGCAAATCGGGCAGGTATCATCACGATTGGATACACCGGTGCTTGCGAGAATGTTGACGAAGCGGAGGCACTAAGAGGGGTGCTGGAGAAGGCCGGATGCAAGTTGATTATGAGCAATTGGGCAGAGTTTCCCAATCTGCTGTATCGTATAGAGAGTGAGTTGATATGAGGCATACCCAACCAACTCCATCACGGTAGAAACACAAGACGTTCCCGGAGATAAATAAACGGCTGTAAGGGAATCTGTCAGCGTGTCATGAATCAAACATTCTTTTCCGGTATCAAATTGAACTCCAAGCGTGGCGTTCCACAACTTTTATTCTTTATCCATGTTTGATTTGTGACGTATCACAAAGACGTTGTTGCTGCAGGAAAATCAAGCTACCCATGTGCGAAAAAGAAAGCCGACTTTGAGCGACTAATTTGCCGTGATGTCGTGAAGCAAACAGGAAGACAAGTGGGTGCATGATCAAGGCGGTTACGGTAGCATCAAGTCAAGAAGGAAACCCAATCCCAATAAACAAGGAAAACGCTACCTTGAGGGGAATTACTGCGAGTGTGCACCGTCACCTAGATTTTGGGTGATAAAGTGGATGAGTGACTACATGTCCATCTTGATCCATTTTTATTTGCCCTTCATACTCGACAAGCGCTAAAGTCTGTCAAATTGTACACCTTCCTCATCTGAAGTTGATCCCCTACGGTGAACAAGGCTATATGTGAAGTCCCAAATAAGGTTGTGCGTCTATCTGCGGATACCGGCTCCTCCTAGTTGTCGCCCGCAGGGCCCGAACTCTCTTCTCCGCTTGTGTCCTTGTTTTGTCTTGGCTGTCGAGGAAGTAATATCCACAAAAGGCCGAGAACGACACAGATGGCAAGCACAATTGGCTGAAGAGTTTGCACACCTTTTGCCTGTGCTATAGCTCCAACCGCAAATGGCAAGATAGCTCCTCCTGATCCACCAAAAGCGGCGGCGAACCCAATGGTGCCGACATGAAGCGAGCGAGGCATAACTTTGGTGATGAGAACCACTGCCACCGGATACATTGGGCCTACAATACTACAGTCAGTCCGTAATCTTCACGTTTTGTACATGGCCCTGGAACTATTGTAGGTTGACTTACCCATGGCCACACCAATTAGTGCTGCTGCCACTGCGCTCACGACAAGATTGGGCACCAGCCAGAAGATGAGTTCTAGCACAATAGTCACACCGAGATAAAGAAACATGGCCCAGAATTCTCCAAGGCGAATCGTTACCAAAGACAAAAAGAGACGGCCAGCCGTCATGCCGCCCCAGAAGCCGGTTGCTACTGCTCCGCCAGTGACCGAGGTGGCGCCGCGAATGCGAGTCATGAAGACAACTATCCATCCGCCGAGTGCAACTACAAAGTCCAGAAGTTTTGGTCAGCTATGTTTGACGTTGACAACCAAGGGATATCAATGATTGACTCAGAGAGAACAGGATCAGAAAACTTACCTTCAGCACCGCAGTACCCGAAGACAAAGAATGCGAAGATCCACGATAGTTTATTCTTCAAAGCTTGGCGGGTCCGGCCTGACTTGCCTCCAGACTCGGTCGGGTTCTCGGACAAGTATACAGCGCCTGTCTGAGTCCAGAATGTAGCAGTGAGAGTGACAAACTCAACCACCGAGGCCGCAGCCATGACGTAGTAGAACGCAAACCAGCCTGGTTGACCTTCCGCAGAGAGAGCAGTAGCTATCAGGGGAGCTATGGTTGCTCCAAGAGCGTAGCAGGCTTGCAAAATGCCGGACATTTCATGCGAGTTCGCCATTTGCCCTATGAAGGAACACCAAGCAGCGTCTGCTAATCCATTGCCCATGCCTACGAGAACAAACAGGGCAACCTACATGTCGAGTCCAATCATTAGCTGGTCAATTGGTAGTTGCAGAGATCCATTGACTTACGAGAACAGGATAGGGTGGGTGAAACGAGAAAGTTAGATACGGAATCAAATGGCACAGGGGAGCAATACATGCTACACCTCTTTGGCCAAAGTGAACATGCATGAGATTGTTCACTGCAGATGCAATGGCATATCCTACAAAGGGAGAAAGAAAGATTAGGGAAACCACGGTATGGTTCAAATCATAGTAAGTTTCTAGCTAAAGCCATTGTGAGTGAGATTTGCTTTACTGGGCGAAGGGATAGACTTTTTGAATTACCAGAGGAACCAAAGCCTGATTTGTGAGTAATTTGATCTTCATAGATTTTAGGGATTAAAGATGGAAGTCTCGGACTTACACCATAAGAGCCATCGTTCATTCCTACCACGACAAACGACCAGAACGTTGCAGCGGTTCGATACGTGTTAATCGGGGGTGAGTTCCATCGTTGCACGGCGTAAACGTTGTCAGAAATGGTAGATGGGCTGTCATTACTTGTTCCATGCTCCCCATTTGCAGCAGCCCGACGAGCCTTTTCTTCGTCGTGCTGAATAAAGTTCGACACGGGCTGGATCTCAGCCGCGGCACCGACTGGCGTAGCTGCGGTCGCAATGATGCTTGCCATGACTCTGTAGAGCTCTCTTAGTAAAGACTTGTGAGGAAACGACAGCACAGAGATTTCTGAACAAGTGTATGATAAGTTTTGCAAACGAGATTGATTGAAAGTGAATGAAGAACAAGACGTGGGAGACGTGGTTAGACAGTAACAACGATGAAGAACCTTCTTGGTTGTGCTACCTGAATGGCGATGACGAAGCTATGTCAGCGTAGATATGATAGGACAAAGGCCAGATGTGACCGCTTAACACACCTAAATTCGAGAGGTGTGCTTCATCGAGAATGACTCGCTCAAAGTGACCTCGAATGGTCTAGCATCAAAAGTATACAACTGGGGCTCTTTTGGGGTGGCTCGTATGAGGAACAAGGTCAAGATATTTGCCTAAATAGGTAAGAGAAAACCAGTCCCAGTCACAAGGTAACGAACGTGATAAGCTTTCGAGGCAGATATGATACTTGTGCAGGATCTTTTGTAAAGGAAGGATCTATGAGATCCACGGTAACCTTGCGTGTGTTCATTACCCGAAGGAGGGTTGCATCCGGATGGCTATGTAGTATTCCTAAATGAAACACAGATGCAGAGCCTCCAAGAAGCTATCTTTCTACAGCGCGCTTCGACATTGGGCCGCTCCTTGCACAAACATGGATCCTTAATGACTTCGATCTTCACGTTGCATCTGACGTGCATGCCTGCTATCAGTTCCAGGTACAGTGCGTATAAGTGTGGACCCTGAATGGGAGTTCCGATTCCCAGTTGAGTAAGAGTTGTAATATCTGTCTGACTGTCATCAAGGACCACCCTTAACGCCGGAGACCCATCCCCGTGGGAGTGGGATGCAAGGTTCACAACGGGGAACCCGGGACCATCGGGCACGTGGATGTGCCCGAAACTCGCGTCATTAGTGGCTGATTACTGACCATGGTGAAATGCCATTACGAAATTAGGTGAGCCGCATACTTGGCGGCTATCGTAGCCCTGCTACAATTACTGCCATGCTTTGCGGTGTGTATTGGTTTTGGTCTTGGGAGGTACATGCGGATCGAATCCTAGACATTTGATCCACTGTATTACTGCCTTGTCAGTTGATACTGATGTCGCCCCCGGATGGGTTACCTTCCTCTAGGGTCTATTATGCCTCAACACTGCTCGAGCAAGACACCATGCCTACTTCAACTGTGGTTTCAAAGCCTTCTAGTTGATCTTGAATCAAAAGTCTCCGAAAAGGGCTTTCCACCTGTGAGATGAGCAATGGGTGTGTGTCTAATGCGTCAGCACTATAGCTGTCCTGCCTTCCCAAATGGGACTGTAGGATGGCTTACGGAGATTCGCCGCTTTCTCACTTGTTTGCGAAGCTTCCAAGGTTGAGAGATTCCAGGGTACTTGGTGACGAATTTCAAGAAAGAATATCAATTTGCTCCTCATTTGCACTTGCGCCAATAGTGGAGAGTTAGGTATACGTACTTACTTACTTGGTCATCTCACACTGGCGGTTAAGGTCAGATATTGTTTCCACGTAAGTTTGCTAAGCCCTACTAATGGGATTTGGAGACATTTGCCCAGAATATGAGAGTTGTCATTGTTACACAAGTTCGTATAGGTCATAAGCAACTACTTTAGTCAACAGCGGCAACAGCCTACTCCAGACATGAGAGTTGGAGACGAGGCATCCATGAAATGACAAATTGATTTCAAATTTTCGTGATTGTCAAACGAGGAGGACTTCTTCGACAATCAGATAGTCACCATCAAAGTACCATCTATGTCTCTAGATGGTTAGTGGAACATGGTTGGATGTAGGCAGCTGCCTAAAATGCAGTACGAAGTTTCATGGAAGATGGAACATCCCCTGCTTGCGGCATTTCAATCACAGCAGCTCGGAGCGGACTCGGGGGTCGAGAAATTGGTTGGCATATCTAATACAGACGGAGTTCGGGATTACTCTGGATACGTCTTCTCAAATTTTCATTTCAGACTATTTAGTTCACAAGAAATCGCATCTCCGAAGCCGGTTTTTTTCTTTCTCCCACCGACCCAGACATTACAATCTTTCATCTGCATCCGTATCAATTTTACCTTGATTTAATACCATACCCCCAAAGCTTATCATGGGCTCCCTCGCAATCGCCGATGACCTTGTTCCCGCAGAGAACTCGCTCTTTTATCAGAGCGTTTACCCTTCCTCAGCTCCTACAGTTGAATATGCCGATGGACTCTACTTCACCCTGAAGAATGGCCAAAAGATTCTCGACTCCACTGGTGGAGCAGCAGTCTCTGCCATCGGTCATGGCAACGAGCGAGTCAAGAGCGCCATCATCAAGCAGCTCAACAAGTTCACTTATGCTCACCCAGGCTACTTCCAGAATGATCCTTCTCATGAGCTTGCCGATATTCTGGTTAAGTCGACCAATGGTCAGTTGTCGAGAGCGTGCCTCCTAGGATCTGGTAAGAACAAGACTTTGACAGAGTTCATAAGACCGAAAACTGATACTTTGGGCAGGCTCCGAGGCGGTCGAGGGAGCTTTGAAGCTTGCTCGGCAATACTTCCTTGAGAAAGATCCCAAAGCTCCTCGTACCAAATTCATCGCCAGGGAGAGCTCCTGGCACGGCTGTACTCTGGGCACTTTGGCCGTTGGCGACTTGAAGGCCCGTAAAGAGCCTTTCATGGACGTCCTGGCTGACAATGTTTCCCATGTGTCTCCTTGCCATCCCTACAGAGAGCTAGAAAGTGCTGAATCGGTTGAGGAGTATGTAGAGCGATTGGCTCTTGAGCTGGAGGGCGAGTTCCAGAGATTAGGCCCAGACAATGTGTGCGCCTTCATTATCGAACCGATGGTAGGCACTGTAAGCTATACTCAGCCTGGTCTGTTTCTTCTTAGTTCTCTTGCTAAATTTCCCAGGCCCTCGGATGCGTCACAGCTTTGCCCGGATATCTGCAGGCTATGAAAGATGTTTGTCATCGTCATGGTGCTCTCATCATCTTTGACGAGGTCATGTGCGGTCTCGGGCGAACTGGCTACATGCACGCCTGGCAACATGACAATGTCGTTCCTGACATTCAGGCCGTGGGCAAGGGACTCGCAGCTGGATATGGCACAATCTCTGCCATTCTCATTCATGAACGCGTCATCGAGGGCCTCAAGCAGGGTAGCGCCTCCTTTCAGCACGGACAAACGTACCAATGTCACCCGCTCAACGTTGTCGCTGCCGTCGAGGTGCAGCGCATCATCAAGGAGAAGCACCTTGTTCGCAACGCGCGTCTCATGGGCATCCTATTTGGGCACCTCCTTCGTCAGGCATTCAAAGACCATCCCCACGTTGGCGATGTTCGCGGCCGCGGCATGTTTTGGTGCATTGAGTTTGTGGCAGACAAGACTACAAAGGCGCCCCTGGACCCTTCCTTGAATCTTGCTCGCCGTATGCGTCTTCGTGGACTTGAGAAGGGCTACGATGTTTGCCTCTTTTCCTCCACGGGCTGCGCCGATGGTTGGAACGGAGATCACTTTCTTCTTGCCCCGCCCTTCACCGTCACCCCCACGGATGTGGAGGAGATCGTTTGTCGTGCCAAGCGAGTTGTGGACAGTGTTTTTGACGAGATGAGAGCAAAAGGGCAGATTTGAGCATGATGGGCGATCAAGAGTTACGTTCTATGGTTGTACTGGTCTCTCACTAGTTTTCTATTTTCCTTTCCTTTCTATCGTTTCTCCTGCATTTCATGTCAAGACAGTCTGTCAAGCCAACTCACATTGAATCGGATACGATCACCACGCACAAAACCACATAGATTAGATAGAACAAAACTTTGATTGAGCTCTTCAGGTCAAATAGTCCACGACCAGGATGCTACAGATCGACCCTTATTCGGCCTCATTGAGCCTAGCTAGTGTCTGCTGAAGGCCTTGGCTTGGACTGGGGTCAGTAGGGCTGACCGAGAACGCAATCAGCTCATGCCCCGCGCGGGGCTAATTTAGGCCACCCTCGAGCCATTAGGAAATGGTGTAAGGGGCTTGTTATGCTTGATAAGAAATCGGTGCAACGCAGGGCATTTAAAGAATAAATAGAGGTCAGCTCACTCACCCCCATGCACACCTGCACTCACATTCACCCAAAACACACAAATTACTAGCCTGGTCCTTTTACCGAATATGGCATCTCTGGATAATACAACGCTGTTCACCGTTGAGGCGGATCCCGGGACTGATATCTGGAGAAAGCCCGGACACAACGCATGGAACAGTAAGTACATGTAACATACATGCCACCTCAACCTCTTCATTTCTTGGGTCTCGGCCTGCCGCCTAGAATCAAATTCGGACCTCTCCACTAGCTATTTTTCATATTGTGACACTTGCCACATGCACTGACGATTCATAGTCCCAAATATCCATACCAGCACTGGCCCCCTGAAGAACTTCCTTTCAGTTCGCGTCAGTTTCTCGGCGCCCTGGGCCCACTCATACGACCAATCTGGTGTGCTTCTTGTGCCGAGACTAGCCTCAGAGGCAGCGCCTCCAAACAGTAAATGGATCAAGACCGGAATCGAGCTATATGATGGCCAGCCTCACTTGAGCACAGTCACCTGTGACCGGTATGCCGACTGGGGCCTCTATCCCTTGACCCTAGGGGATGGCGAGGACAATAAGAGCGTGACAATTGAGGTCTTCCGGGACGGAGGTCCCCAAGGTAAAAATGCTTGGGTACACCACCTGTTGCTGGATAAAGACGGAAACATCAAAAAGAGAATCCCTCTGAGGAAAATTTGTTGGATCTTTGCGGACGAGAATGAGGGTGACTGGGTCTTGGATGTCAGTCCGCTGGCTGCGAGACCGGATAAGGACGCCAAGGATGGGCTGAAAGTCGAGTTTGCCCAGTTCAAGGTGCAGTGGAGTCAGTAGACTAAACGAATGCCGGATGTGCCATGGCAAAAGGCCGATTTGTTACCATGCGAAAGATGATCATCGTTGAAAGGTTGCTTAGTGTATGGGAGCCCGAACCATACTCCCTGTGTGATGCCACCATCCTTATGGAAATGCGAATCCTCCAGATGTGCTGTATTAATACGGACATGACCTCCGTTTGGGTGAAGTACTTTGAAGTGACAAAGATGCATGATGTGCTTGTCTTATGTAGAACTGGGTGGTAAGATCTGCTATGCTTGCATGCACAATAGGCAGCGAGGTCTAAAAAAGTCGAATCCTCCTGTGAAGGTGTGCAAACGCCGTGCCGCATCGGAACAGATACCGGCTGGGACACTGCCGAGGAATCGCTCGTAGAAAGGGATTCCTGTGCAATTGTAGATCTGTGACCGATGTACCGGTTAATGTATGCCGCACGCAACCCTATGAGAATGAACGTGGCTCATCGATGATCGGAGCGGCCATCTTGTCTGTAGCCAAAACCAACGCAGAGTTCTTCCCGTCGTGGTACCCTACAAAAGTACCTACTTCCTGACCATGGAGCTGGGTCAGGATCCGATGAATGATAGCTGTCTACCTTCACGTACTAGACTAGTGTGGCTGCATACAGGGTTTCAAATCCCAGAGTCGGGGTCACAGCCGCAACGACGTGGTCCTATGAATTACACCATCAACAGTTAAGGTTCAAGGCGGGATTGCGTCCGAACTAATGCAATGAAAATAAGTCCAACAAATGAGTCTCGAGTTGGACTGTATCTAAGATACTAAGATAACCCCAGTTCGGGGCCTAGGTAGCGGTCAAGGGGAGCGGTTGAAGCATGTACCCTTTTAGGTTAGACAACCAGCCAGCGGGTTGATAATCCTCGAACTTCTCGGCGCACGTGAATCTTGACAATGCAAGTGTCGCACAAAGTTTGAGCACGACTTGAAGCTAGGGCTCGATCGCCGGCGTTGATATCCATTGTGCGACATACACTCGTCTGGGAATTGTTGTCCGGATTTGTTCACGTATTCGGAGACTCCACCGTCGCAGCTGGAGGATGCTATACCGGTAAGACTCAAAGTTAGGTGGGAAGGCTCAATCTGCGACGGCATAGGCTCAAGCTAGTCGCAACACGCAAATCGAGTGAAGTAGAGGAGGATTTTAGCGAAGTCCTAATAAATATGTCCCCAATCCTTTAAATTCAGTTGTCCAGTGTCCTCGTGAATTCATTTGGAAATGTCATATCTACTTTAACGTCCTCCGAACCCAGTCGCGTTCACCTCCGTCGTTCGGTTTTGAAATGTGTCGACCAACCGATCCCTATTGTTGGCACATACCGGCTCACATGGAGAGTAACGACAGTCTCCACAGTCTGTACAAACCTCTTCCTTACAATCTCGAACCAATTGCATCCCAAAGTCTCGACCAAACTAGAGAGAGGAGAGTTCCTCTTCCAGCGGCAGGGCTCTCTCGGATTCTCTTCTTCCCAAGACATACCAGCACAGTGACACACCTACCAGTTTACGATATCAAAAATATCTATAATGAGGCTGTTTAAGGCGGTTCCATGGGATCTAGCATGTACAAAATCAACATGATGTTCATGCGCCGACCTGAAGGCGACGGGATGGATTCCAATGTCGAATTCTTCCTCGACGTGGCGCCTAATCAAAATCTCGTTACAGTCCATCAAGGAAGCGTGGTTCTTGATAATAATTATGCCATCACAATGGAAAGAGAAAATCCAGCTCACTCTCACGTAAACAAATTGAAGGACTGATGAGTGTCTTGAGAACTCTTCCCAATGAACAGCAGGGAGAATCAGCACTTGAAGTACCTGGTCTGGGCAACGTTCATGTTCTTGCATCCCTACTTCCACCTTTTTCAATGGGAGAAATGAGCCTTCTCTGTCAAGGTCTAGACAATACCCAGCCCTCAACATGACATCAGATGATCACCCTGGAATGCAGTGGCAGCTACGACCTCAAGATGTCGGCTCACTCTGCTACCATTTGACGGAGGCCAATCAAAGGAACCACGGTGAAGAAACGGAATCACATATTATGGCAGTCTATCACCACGCTGGAGGTCATTCCCACCATCCGGTTGACCACAGTGAGTGAGTTCTGCTTTTGCCTCATAGTCGGGACCCACAACGAGAAATGGTTGCCATCGAACTTGTGTTCCTGCTTCTGTGGCATATAAGAGATCTTGAATACTCCAAAGAGAACATTCTATCGAAGTTGCTTGCGAGGCTGGGACCGAGAAAGCCGTCTGGTTAGAAGCGATGATGAATGAAACCAAACAGATTTGATTGGTCTTTGCACGCCGTCAGAACACCTCGTTTGAATCTTGCACGAGAGAAATACATGATTATTTATTTTTCTCTTAAGCTTGCTTATGGGGCTAGGTAATTCCTCAACGCAATGTTCCCCTGCGTCATGCCGGCTCACTGCGTCCTTGATTACACGCTGTGTGGAATAGCTTGTAGACGGATAATACATGGCCACATGGGAAACTACTGGAAGTTTTGCTCGGCTGTATACATCTGAAGAAGTATTTCGCAAGCCGTCACGGATTTAGAAGATTTGTGTCTCGTGTCAGCGATCATGGTTACGGCATTCATTTTATCATGCCTTCATTTCATTCCTCAAGCCCAACGAAGACTTGGTAAATAGTGAACAGATAAACAATGAGAGGTCTTTCGATCAGAACTCATTCATAAATTCTTATCCTAGACAAATTGTTACATTCCAAAATAATAGAGGACATAAACAGTATAATACCATTCTTGAAACAAGTTATACTCCAGGCAATCTGCGATCATTCCAGTATCCCCGAGAGACCCAGAAAACGGTTTGGGAAAGTTGACGCAAAACGCCAACACCAGACAACGCAGAGACGGATGTCCAGTCTGGCGTCTCCAATAATTATAGCGCGTTTGAAAATAGGAAGATTTGACGAATTGTATCAAACCGCTCCGGGATAGAGCCAGGTCTTGAGTCTATTTCGAAGATGATGTTGGTCAGTGGCAGAGCCTTGACTGCTGGCGCTACCACGACGACCAGTCATGTTGTTGGTCAAATCGGAACCACTGGACGGTGTTCGCGTTATCATGACCCTGTTCTTAGAGTCTTCAGTCTCGAAGTCAGTTCTGATCCTGCGTTGGTCTCAATTCTAAGCTGGGGCGACAAACTTGAAGAGTCATAACGTCGGGGATCTTCCAGGATGGCAAAGAACTTGGCTTGTGCCTTTTCAGTCGCGGAAGGTGCCATTGTTGTCGTCGTACAGAAGAACTCTTTAATGCACTTTGAATGTATAGGAATTGGGTCAGTTACAGTAAATGGACGTCGAATCTATCATGTACGAAGAAAGATCGATCCTATCACCAATGTCCAGAAGAGGGGTAACTCGGTCTTTATGTTGTCCGATTACAAAGACACGGTAGGGACCTTGGCCTGCCTGGCAGCAAAGCCTGGGGAAAGAAGGTTCATCTCCAACTTATCCGATTCGTTCGTCCCATTGGATTTGTTTCAATCATCTGCAATGGGACTGGACCTTAGATGCCATTGCCACGGAAATGAGGGGTAGCTCGCAATCATCGAATCAATTTGCCGACTCATAGTTCTACGCCAACTGGGAGGTATGCTTCGGATGTCCGGTTGACTTCTGACCCGTTCACCTCCTGACCTGCGGACACCTGGACCTCAGGTTACTAGTACCGTGGAGGTTATGAAGTGCCAGGCCGCTCTTAACGTACCTGTAGCCGGTTGGGATGCCCGGCTCATCCTTCGCTCTAACTACTAGGCCTAAAGCTATTGTGATTGACTACGAGTAAATTTGGAAACTGGATCTTTTACATCCTTCATTAGTGATATTGCCTGTATCTTTGTGTTAAGGTAGTCAGAAAACATCCCTTGTCGAACTCTTCATCTTCCCTTGAACCGAATGCATGAAATATCTGGAATAGTTCCGGTGCTACGCAAAGAGCGTTTCTTCCGAAAGGAGAAGAGTCTCTTTCTGAAATTCGAATGAAATCCCTCTCACCTTCATATTCGGGTGCGCCCTTGTAATACACCTTTTAGGTCAAATATAGGAGGACAGCGTGAAGGCAGGCCGACCCGGGTTCCGATGCTAAGGGAGATCAATCTTCCATATGATGGTATTATTGATAGTGATTACGTAGGGTCGGGCTGAACAGGACACCCATAATAGAGAGACGGGCTATTATGCCTTGGTATTGGTAGATTGATGATACGCAAGGATACTGCCATATGCGATGCCCTATCGAAGTAAATGTGCTGTAACTCTCCGTGCTTTCTTAAGCTAGGATGAGTAAGATTTAGCTTTGGCCAAGATATGAAAACAATGTGGAACAAGATTGTAGGATGTGGACACTTTTATACAGCACATTCTCGTATACTTCATGTGTGCCTACTGAAGAGATTGTTAAGTCTCAGATTGCTTCCCGTGCAGGGTGGGTATAGAGTATCCTGGGAGGTAGCGGAATTGCCCTGATCATGCAAAACTCCCTCAGCAACGTCCGACGAGGGACTTGCAGATTGCTTTGCAGGGAATAGAAGGCATCGGCCTCCCCTCCGCGAATCCGGCTCATGAAGCTTGCCATCGTCTGTATTGCAAAGTGTTCGCGAGCTCTGCACCGCTCGTCCGCTGCAGTCAGAGCTACGCCGGGAAGCAGACTCGAGAAGATCGAGCGGAGCCCTCACATTTTGAACTTCTTTTTTGGAGATGATGTGGGACAATCTGCCGATCGCTCCTCGTTCCGAATGCTGCTGACTGTATGTAGGAGTGCTCCAACGATGTGACCTTGGGGCTGTGCATTGCTGACAGCGCTAAAGAATACATCCGTCCTCACCCGGAAGTTGGCGGCGAATCTTGGGCTCCAGGCAGAAAAATAAAATTGGTTCAATGATCATAAGTAACTAAGTACGTGAGTTGGTTCAATGTCTTTCGTTGACTCGGCCTATATGTTCTCAACCATTCGTACGTTCATCATCCTTCGGGTTCATGACTGGAAACTATCACCGGAGTCGCTGAGATGGCACTACTTCCAATCCGTGTTTACAAGGCATTCAACCCGCCTGTAGTAAAGAAGACAGACGGTGCAATGAAAGTTGGAGTTCTGAGTGCTGCCAAAATCGTGTGAGTATAATCGGTAGCCCGATGTCAAAGAACATTTCGTAATAATCTGAAATTTACAAGGTCTATGGCATTGATTACACCGGCTTTGTCACACCCAGAAGTCATCGTCCAGGCCATTGCTGCCAGAGATCGTTCTCGCGCTGAGGAATTTGCTAAGAAGCATGGTATCCCCGAGGTCAGGGACACTTATCAAGGTATATCGAGTTCCAGACACTCGATGTCGATATCCTATGAGCCAAGTGACTCTAACCACTCTTGAAGAAATCCTCGATGACCCAAATATCGACGCCATTTTTGTGCCCTTGCCAAACGCCTTGCATTATGAGTGGTCTACACGAGCAATACGAGCTGGAAAACATGTTTTGGTCGAAAAGCCGTCGGTTGATAACGCGATTGAGGCCGATATCCTTTTCAATATGCCAGAACTGTCGTCAGCACACCCAAGCCCGAGGGTCTTGCTGGAAGCTATGCACAACAAATTCCATCCCGCACTGCACAAATTCATGACTTTTGTTACTCCTGCCGACGTCATTCACGTTCACACAGACAGCATGGCACCCGCCTGGTTCACTGCGGCGGATAACCTAAACCACAAATACCATCTTGGAGGCGGCAGTATCATGGCACTCGGAACGTACAACTTTGGAGTCATGCGCATGATCTTTGGCCAAGAGCCTGAAGAGTGTCTCGAATGCGATACTACAGTCTTTGACGATGGCGACTGCAAACAGTGCGACTACACTTTCAAGGCCAGATTTCAATTTCCCAACGGGACTGGATATGCCACCACCACTGTGAAGGGCCCTGCTCTCTGGAAGCCTTCTGAAGCCAGAGTTACACATAGGAAGGTTGTGGTTCCCGACAAGAATTTGCCGGACACTCAGGAGATGACGCGCACGCGGTTGGTCACTCTCCATGGGTTCATGCACGCGGTCGCCTGGCATCGGATTGATGTTGAAGACTCGTATGAGATTCGCAACGTTGTCAACGGTCAAACAGTCAAGAAGTGGGTAGAATCGAGTTCGCACACAGCGTACACGTTTCAAGATGTCGAGGACGGGCTTCCGGATCTGGGCGAGTACTGGTGGTCGTCATTCCGGTATCAGCTCGAGGCGTTTGTCAACCGGGTCAAGGGGCGCGAGACACATTACTGGATCACTGAGGAAGACTCGATCAAGCAGATGAAGATGATTGATATGGCATATGAAAAGAGTGGGTTGGGATTACGACCGACAAGCACTTTCGTTGAATTACAATAATGTTTTCGAACCAAAGACATGGCGTTAACAGAATGTAGTACTTCTTGCGATCAAAGTATCTAAAAGCCTCTGTGTCCTCTTCACTGTCAATTCCATCCGTAGTGGCTCATAGACCAATTTCTATGATCACTTTTCATCGGTCCTAAGAGGTCACACCAGTCAAGGTCGCTCTAAAAGAAAAGCGATTGACCACGGGTAGAGGAACAACAGTCCGTAGCCCGGAAATGCATGTGGGGCCAAACATCGTAAACTTCAATTCAGGCTCATACTTCCACAGTCAGGCTCATACATCTATAAGGCACATACTTCAACATCAGGCACATACTATTCTGACTCCAACGAGAATTAATCCGAGTTGGAGATTTTACTCCACGAGGTTGATTTGAAATCAACATATTATTAACTCTCGTGGCCACCGCTGCCGTGGCTGCCATACGCCCACTTATTTGCATGAAGAGACCGTGGGCTAAATGATTGAGAATCCTTTCAGACAGCATTCGCCCTAGAGGTAGCCAATAGTCCATAAGGTAGTCACTTGTGTATATGGTTAAAGGTGACTGTGGTTCTGGATTGCTCACAATTGGGGCCCTTGAAGATATTACATGCAGTCTACAAGCAGGGCAGCCAGATGTACGCCTGGCTGAAGCCGGTAATTGATTGCCGACTGCCCGTAGCCCGGCATTACGAAAATGACTGGTGTAAGTCGCCTTGAGTTTTGATTCGCCTTGATTCTACTATCAGCCGGAGCTACAATAGTCACTGTGTGATGTGAGTTACTGGCTGCGAAGGGTCGTCGGAGCGTGTGTTATTTCCGAGAAAAGCGACAAAGTTGGAAACCTCCCGATACGAGCCACTGCCAAGCGTTGGTGTTTGTGCCCAAATTCATGTGACAGCACTGGTTCGGACGGCATGACAGGAAACTCAAGGGCCAAGCCTCACTTTCGGTACAGTAACGAGTAAAAGTGCTGACGAGGAAATTGCCGGTCGCTATTTTTGAATATTTATTGGTACCCGATCGCAAGATCTGCACTTTGGATGCGTACAACTTCTCACAGAGTCACAGTCAATGGAAGAATTCGAAGTTCGGTTTGGTGGCTGAAGAGTAGATTGGGTTGGGTCAGGGAATCCTCGATTGCAAATGCTCCGGTCCCGTCGGCTCAGCGTGAAATACATCAGAGACACAACCAACAGATCGAGATAGTTTGGATGATCGGGAAACTTCGACTAAGGGACTTTTGAAGGCAGCCGTTTGCGCCGAACCCTCGGATAACGGGCGGGCGCTTGGCATGCCGTCAAAAGCGTGGCTTTTGTCAACGACGCGTTGCGCAACAGTCTTGACGTCATGTACCAACGCCAGCCACAAAGCGCATCACCAATAAAACTCCCAGCAACCTCCCTGAATGGACCCAATGTTAATCTCAAAGACACGCTTCTTGGCAATTCAGCCAAACTTTTATGGATTTTTTTAAGCCTCCCATCGTGCTCATCCACGGCTTGTGGATGACACCTCTTTCATGGGAGTATTGGATACCATATTTCCAGAAAGAAGGATTCGAGGTCCACGCCCCGGGTTGGCCGGGGGTGGACGGGCGAACGCATGAAGAGATCTGTGCGGACCCGAAGCCGATATCCCTTCATCGAATCGAAGACATTGTAGACCATTACGAGACATATATCAAGAAGCTTGCAGAACCCCCTATCATCATTGGCCATTCTTTCGGCGGCCTGTTCGCCCAAATACTATTATCGCGAGGACTTGGCGCACTTGGAATCGCTGTGTGCCCTGCGCAACCAGCGGGGATCATTTATATTTCACCAAGCACAATAAGAACGGCGATGCCCATCTTCACTCACCCACTGCATTCGGATGCGACAGTACCGATCTCCGAGAGTCACTTCCACTACTGCTTCGGCAACCTCGTTACCGCTGAGGAGAGCAAGAAATTATGGGAGCGGTATTGCATACCTGCAGATTCTCGGGTCTTATGGCAACTAGCGACCAATGTGACAGCTGGAGAAGCGGCGCCTCACTACGTCCAGTTTGACAAACCGGATAGAGCACCTTTATTACTCATAGGAGCCTCGAAAGATCATATTGTGACAGCAAGAACCGTTAGGAAGGAGTTTAAGGCATATAAGGGACGTGCGCCAGTGAAATACAAGGAGTTCGGAGGCATGAGCCATGGTCTTATCTTCCAAGAAGGATGGGAAACGGTTGCGAATTATGTGTTGGAGTATATCAACAAGCATATCCATTGATAGCATCGGCGTCAGGGTTCAAGATTCAGGTAGACAAGCAGCATAATAGAACATTCATAGATCAGCCTAGAATCATTGCAAGCGAATCACGAAGATTGTTCGGTGGAGTCGTACTGCTGAGTTGTGAAGTTGGGGTGACACATTGGGAGATGACAATCGTGATGTAAGTAACACAAAGGTTTGGTCTTGGTACTCTTGGGCTATGAAATCTTAAGGCAACGGAAAAACACGGCTGCTCTTGCTTTGCGACACGGCCCAAGTGGAGTTGACTGGACGTTCCACTGCTGGGCATTTCTAAGCAAATTCTCGGACTCTGTATCCCTGGCGGGCCCTGTTTTGACCCCAACAGGTCTTGGAGTATCTTCGAGCGACCGTGACACGCTATTGGCCCCTCTCTTTCCAAAGTCTCCAACACCATTCGCTTTTTTGCAAAAGCTCCGATGGCTTCCATCCCAAACCCCTGGTCCTGGGCCGTTACGCCAAGGGGCAGAACATTGCGACCTACCAAATAGGTGCTCACCTCCATCTTTATGAACCCACAGTAACAGTGAGAATGGAATGGAGGTACTTACTTATGAGGGGCAGACCGCCCTCTTCAAAGCGGCATCTGGATAAGATCAACTTGGTGGCCATCTTAATCACGCTCAACTCTACTGTCTCATTTGATACTAGCAAACTCTCTCCCTAGACTACCTGGGATGAACCTCAGCCTACATCATGTCGTCCAAGCTCTTCCAGCCGCTGAAGGTCGGCCAGGCCCAGTTGTCTCACCGCGTGGTGATGGCGCCTCTCACCCGTTTTCGCTTCGATGCAGACCACATCCCGCTTGACATCGCCCTCCAGTACTACACCCAGCGCGCCACGGTTCCCGGTACACTCATTATCGCCGAGGCCGTGCTCATCTCCCCGGAGCATGGTGGCTTCCCCAACGCCCCGGGCATCTGGAATGAGCGCCAGATTGCTGGTTGGAAAAAGGTCACGGATGCCGTACACGAGAAAGGTAGCAGCATTTACGCCCAACTTATCGCACCGGGCCGCGCCGCCGTCGTCCCTGTTTTAGAGAAAGAGGGCGGCCACCCGCTGCTCAGCTCCAGCGCTGTCCCCATTAGCCCTGAGTCTCCGGTGCCCCGCGAGATGACAGCCGAAGAAATTGCTTCCGCTGTCAAGGACTTTGCGCAGGCTGGCAAGAACGCGATCGCAGCTGGTTTCGACGGCGTCGAGATCCACGGCGCGAATGGCTACCTCGTTGACCAATTTCTACAAGATACCTGCAATCAGCGCACCGATCAGTGGGGTGGCAGCGTCGAGAATCGGGCTAAATTTCCCGTTGATGTCGCAGCCGCGCTGGCCGACGCGATTGGCAGCGATAAAGTTGGATTCCGTATCAGCCCGTACAGCACGTTTCAGGCGATGAGAATGCAGGATCCCGTGCCTCAATTCTCTTACCTCGCGCAGAAGTTGAAGGAGCTCAAGCTTGCCTATCTGCACATCATCGAGTCTCGAGTCAACAACTGGGAAGATGTCGAGAAGATCGAGGGTATCGAGTACCTCTTGGAGATTTGGGATAACGTTTCGCCCGTTTTTGTCGCAGGCGGATTCTCACCCGAGCTGGCTCAGAAGGCTGTCGACGAGGAGTATGCCAAGTGGGATGTCGCTGTTGTCTTCGGCCGTCATTTCTTGGCAAACCCGGATTTGCCATTCCGCATCAAGCACAGCCTTCCACTGAACAAGTACGACCGCGACACTTTCTACACGCCGTCCATCCCGCAGGGTTACATAGACTACCCGTTTCACCCTTCTTTCAAGCCAGGTAAACCATTGGCATAGAGCGCAGTGGTATGGAGACATGACGATTCATGATAGAAATAGATGATTAAACATAGACATTGAAACACTCCGTTCTTCTTAACTCCCTTTCTTGAGCCTTCACCACAACCTTGTTTGGGTATCTCATGGTTGCTGAGAAGTGATAGACCCTGTCTCCGATGCGCCTCAATTGCGACGGACCCTACGGATATGACTGACCGTCGTTACAAAGCCTTTGGCGTTAGCAAATAACACCAATGGTAGATATCGGGGTCGGTTGGCTTTAGCCTAGGCGTAGGGATCTTCGCAAAAACCTCAACATCGAAAGGTAGGTTTTCAACGTCGAAGCGGCCGGAGGAATAACTCAACGAGATCCAGAAGCCCCCGTCGGTCAAGTGTCGTCCCACTCCTTCTGCCATTCTTAATACCGACTCTTCGCCTCCACAGGAAACTGCGTCCACAGTGCTTTTGTCGATGATCAGATCGTACGTCTCTTCGAGCTGGAGCTGCGTGGCATCTGCAACGAGGTAGCGCATTCTCACGTCACCAAATACTTGCTTTTCTAGCATACGGCCGCGATCAATGGCTCGAGGCTCGAAGTCAACGTTGGTAATGTTTTGAAAACCTCTTGCCCGGATATGGTTCTGCAGGTCGCTCGTTCCGAAACCTAGCTGCAAGATGCGAGCCGAGTCGTCCAGATTGGTGAGACATGGGTCCACGATCGACATGAAGGTTGCAGACGAGGTTAACCACTCAAAATTGGTCTCGGATGCGAAGCGCTCGCCCCAGTAACTTTGCTTGTCGAAATCTGCGGGCATAATTTCTCTTTTGGAACGTAGAATCTCGTTAAAAGCTGGGGGTTGATTTGTAGGTGACACTACAGTCCCAAAAAGTTGACGTTGTTCACAAATAACCTTCGGAGTGCTGGAGTGTATTTACCCTTATCGCCAGATCTGGGCGAAGAATTTTAAATGCCCACATTTACGTAACACTGGAAGCCCCATCTGACATCATATTATTGGAACACAATATCAAGTAGCTCCGCTGCTTGGACAGTGCGCGGAGCCTGAGTATGTTGTTTGTTGATAACTCCTTCAATTGAATTGTTCATTTGCTCTTGTCACTGCCAGTTTTAAACCTCTAGTCCACTGTCAAAAGGCTTCCAGTTCTTAAGCACCCGTGAATAGACACAAAACGACCTCAATAGAGGCGATGCGATAAGATCAATACCATCACTATTCTGCAGCTAGACGACGTCTCATGTCCTCCAACGCATCTCTGATGTTTCTGTCGAGGTCAAAATTCCACAACTCCTCTGCCTGCGAAAAGATTTCCTCGCGTAGCTTATCAAAGTCTTTCCCATGCTCCGTCCGGAGATCGTACAGTTCGCCAGCCCTTCGACTCTCCCGAATAAGCCATTGACCTCTTTCCCGACGGCTGGCATCGAATGCAGCAAACGCAGCCTCAATCGCTGTACTATCTCGAACCTTTTGGTCTGCCAACAGCGATGCCATGACTGCTGCGTCTTCAACGCATATGCCCGCTCCAGCACCTTGATGCGGGGTAGATGCGTGTGCTGCGTCTCCAAGAAGGCATATACGGCCCTTCGCAAATGTAGGGACCGAGCCATCACCTAGATCGAATAAAGCCCACTAAATAGGTCGTTAACTCGATATCTGAAGGTACAAATGAGGACTGGGCGCGAGTTCATCGCAGACATACCCTATCCAGAACTTTCAAAAGCTGTATCGCCTTCTGCATTCGCGGACTGAAAGCTTTGAGATCTTTGATGCAGTCATCTACTGTAGCAGGAAGTGTGAATTGGGTCTCGCTCGGCCACTCCTCGGTGGTTGAGGTGTGAGCGACCAAATTTAGCATTTTTCCATGAGCCACCGGGTAGGTGACTATGTGTGCATCGTTGCAGACCTAATCCATTGTTAGGTAACATTTCCACGATAGACTGTCTTGAGAGTGATCAAGAATGAAACTTACCCACAGCCCGGAGGTTCTTGCTCTGTCTGGGCCCAAGATCTGTACGGCTTGACTCATCGGTATCAAACCGCGGTAGGTGTACTTATGGGTATAGGTGCACTTCGTAGCCGCGTGATCGTGACCTATGACGATGCCTCTTGTGTGCGATTTGATCCCATCGCATCCGATTATTCCATCAGCCTCAGCGGTTGATCCGTCTCGGAAGATCATTCGAAGTCGTTTGCCCGTTTCTTCTGGCCCTTCAATGCTTTCCAGTTCCTTACTGTAATGTATCGTGTCATCGGGAACATGTTTGAGCAAGTGTGTTAAGAACTGGCCTCGGTGACAACCCCTAAGTCCTGTAGTAGAATTTCCAAGTGTGAAAAGAACAGTGTCCTCGTTTGCTTCATCCGTACCGTCAAACACCTCCCAACGGAAAGGAGGCTCGGCCACGCTTTCGAGGGCCTCGAGAATCACCGGATCACAAGTTATCATTGCCCTGAGAGCATTTGGCGAAACTCCCAAGCCGACTCCAAGCTCGGTATAGGCATGGGCCTTCTCGTAGATGATGCAGGGTACGTTGCGTTTAGCGAGCGAAATGGCGAGGATTATTCCAGCTATGCCTCCCCCAATGATGGCGATTTCGAATGGTTTCTTTTCTCCTCCCATGATGATGTGATTTTTTGGAAGGAATATGGGAGACTACGAACTGGGATCGAAAAGAGGAGATGAGTCAATTTGACATGAATCTACATGAGTGGTTGAAGCATTATTAAGGTTCAAACGGATGTCACACGGACTTCGAGTAAAATGTCCCCGAGGTAAATCACGCATCTGTCGGCCCTAACTTCGCCAATTCGGTTATATCTCACTCCTCAGATTTATCATAGATCATCGTCTTTGGCTGTGAGGAGTATAAGGTGCGTATTCTTTAGTCGAATTGTGTCAAGGGAGACATACCCATACAGTCATGCAGAGCTGGAGGTATCGTGCTTCAAACGTAGCTTCAATAGTAAGATGGTCTCTCAACCTATGATAAGGCAATAACCGTCAAGATCACGACAATCAGTGCTTGGACATAAAAATTTTGACATTTCTTACTTGCGTATCTACTTATATCCCATCAAATAGCAGACCGGGTCATCCTCTTTCGGCATTGCTGATGCAGTCACGAAATCTGTGGCAGTGCAGAGCTAAAGTTCTTCACCTCTCCTTAAGGTTCCCTACCCCCTGTTGGTAGCGTGGGATCGTGCTCTCATTAGAACTTTGCTGAAACTTACCGAGTTGGACTTTCGATGACCACTCCATCGATGAGTTAGTTGGATGAGCACTGGTTATGCTGCATTTCTTTGATGGCAAATGAAAATTATGACCATATACTAATGCTAAATTTCAACATCAACTTCATCATTACCGCGCTGCTTTGAAGGTTAAAGTAATGGTGCGAATCTTTCGTCTTTCCCATTTTTCTCATCCGGTTTCCAGGATTTCACCGGAATCATTGCCAAGTGCCATCATCAATTACAATGTATACAGTGTTGTGTCTCTACCTTCTCTCTTGAGGCTTTTGTTGGCCCTGGTAAGCATAATTTTCATGATCACGCATGTGACAATACTCAAGGCCGACGATGCCATCATGAGCAAGTTGGCCATAACATATCGAGGCCCATCATTCGATGGAAAGAAGTAGGGGCTCCAGATATTGCCTAATTGGCTGAGCAGGTTGATGATGGCTGTTGCACACGCCCTCTTCTCTGGAGTTTGGTTCAGTGTGGAGCTAGCCCACGAGAAGACCATGGCATTAGAAGAAAAGCATCTGGATCATTGTATCAGCTAAAGTTTACTTCCTTGACCACCGGATATGCTCAACTCACCCGCAGATGTAAAGGAATGCAGCAAAATAACGAGCGACTATGTTGACCGTGGAGACCGAAATGATGAACCCAACGCATGCAACGCCCTGTGGCACGGAGATGTGGAAGCCGCGCTCTTTACGTCGATCGGAAGACCAGGCAGTCATGAATGCGACGGCAGTGGCAAGAAGGTACGGCGGGGCCGTCAGAATGAGGGTCAAGGTGTTGCTACCAAGCTTAAAGCCCTTGACGATCGTGGGAAAGAAATTGTTGAAGCCATAGGCTGAATGATTCGCGGTCAGCATTACCACCTGTTTTACTGCTTTGTCAGTGTACCGTTCGGCATCTCTGTGCGTAATATTTTCTCTGCAAATTTCAGCGTGACTCACGAATACCCAAGTACGGGGGTCTTTGATGGCAAGTTTCAGCCCGTTCCAGACACTCGAGTCTGCCTCTGGTAAAGAAACCCGATCTCTTCGAATACGCTCAACCGCGACTCTTTGCTCAGCATCTGTGAGCAACCACTTGGCAACACCCGACCTCTGTCCGGGGAAGTCAGGAAGCAGCGCGAAACCTAGAAGCGCTGCGGTGAAACTTCCAGCTCCTTCGATGATGAACAGCCACTGCCAACCAGCGATGCCCCTTGCGCCCTCGAGGCTCGAGAGCACGCCAGCAGCAATAAGTCCAGAGAATGCCGTGGCAAGGAGGACGCCAGAGTATAAGACGGCAGTGCGCAATGCTAGCTCTTTGCGTGGATACCAGCATGATAGAAGATACATGGCTCCGGGGAAGAACGGGGCTTCCGCGATGCCAAGAAAGAATCGTATAACAAGAAGGTGGGTGTAATTGCCAGCTCCAGCCGTGGCAGCTGAGACGATAGACCACAATGATGTACAAGCAGGGATGTATATGCCGGGCCGTGTCCGAGTTATGAGCATGTTACTTGATGAATGTCAGTACTTCAGCGTGGATGGGCAGAATTACAAGCACGTCTCTCTTACCTGGGAAGCTGCATCAACATATAGCCTATGTTCAGGATGGAAACAGCAACGTTGAATTGATTTCCAGTCAGATTGAGATCCTTCTCAAATGAGCTCAATCGGGCTTGACTATGACCAGTTACTATTAAAGACTGACCAATATTGCACGAGTTGAACGTTATAAGAATCTTACGCAATGTTGTTTCGATCAAGATAGTTGAAAAGATACAAGAGCCAGACCTAGAAGCTGTTAACCTTTGTACTGGATCTCAAGCTGCTGTTTTCGGACGACTGACCATAGGGACGAGTGTGTAGTCGAGTTTCCTCACCAAACTCTTCTCGTGAGCAATGAATTCCTCTTCTGCCATGCTGAAGTTGACATCAGTGACATCTTTATCAAGGGAAATATCTTGCTCTTGAAAGGCTTGTAAATCGTCGATATGATCAGAGCTGGCTTGCATTGTGTCACCCTTTTCCCTGGATTTATCAACAGCCATTGTTGTTGGTATTGAAGCTTGTGAATAGGAAAGGGAAGGCTAAAACGATCAATCAGAATTCTTGCAGATGAAACATTTCTCCAATATCTCTTACTGCAAGAACAAGAGAAGGCATGCCAGTTGAAATAACGCGGCATGGTGCTTGGTGACGAGGGGTCTTAAGTTATGTCTTTCTGAACATCAGCATTACTTTTCAGACACACACCAAAGGGAGACACAGATGTCAGTCTGTTCTGATTGTCGAGCGACAAGACGGGAACCCCAGAATTACCCCGCATACCCCCAATCTAACCCCAGGTTCTTACCCGCTAGTAGAGTATCCGTACAAAGGTCTACCTGAAGCTATGAGGATTACGGAGTACACGCCCAGCCTATCCTTCTACTTCATACAAGCATCCAGCCAATAGGTGGCCACGGAATCGAAAGATTCAGGTGTCTGCCATGCCAGTGTAGATAGAGAAGTCAAGTCGTTCGATAGTGGGCTTCTCCGTACCTGTCTCGGGTTATTCCAGCCACTGCTAAGGCTTGTAAAGGTCATCTCGGAACTATTTCAACCCTTCACTCCCTTGCCTAGTGGAGTAGTGGAGTAGTCCGTGTCCTAGCGGAACTGTCCGTCACATGGAGAAGTCCAATCTCATTGCCCGGACTACTCCTTAAGAATGCAAATTGATATTCGCCATCATGAAGTTGCGAAAAAGTCCCCCATAGACCACCGGTCTCGCGAGTTTGGCTTGACAACATGAATCGTGAACATCCATCCCGTTCCATTTCAACATCTCGCCGCATATAACGGGTTCCATAACGCTGAGGGTATGTTGAGGCGGGACATCATCGCCTCATAATTTGCTCCACTTACACACTCCGCACAACAATCACTCGTTCAATAGTACCTTATCATGGCTACGACATCCGTAAGGAGCAAGAGTTATCATAATGATGACAACAGCACACGTCCGAGCCTATGTAAAGGTTACTGTGTTTTTATGATATCAAGAAGAACGCTATGCAGAACAGAATTTGGCATTTTATCATATGATCCCTCTGGGGTCTCGGGGCCTAACGCCGACGATGTATCATCATGCTTCGCCACGAAGTGCAACGCGCTTGATGTGGTTAAGCGCACTCCCCGCCCGCAACCATCCAATCTGATTGATTTCGAAACTGTGATTCAACTTGGTCGTCCACCTGGAACCTTGTAGGGTGACGACCTCCATGGTTACCTGCTTATCGGGCCGCAAATCAGCATCTTCGACGTCTGCAAGCGTGATTTGGTCCCCTTTCTGTATTTTGCCGTAGTCTGCGGGATCACTGAACGTAAGCGGTAACATGCCCTGCTTCTTCAAGTTCGTCTCGTGAATTCTGGCAAAGCTCTTGGCAATGACGGCAACACCACCCAGATATCGCGGCTCCAGCGCAGCATGTTCTCGCGAGCTTCCTTCGCCGTGATTATCATCTCCGATGATGCACCACCTGATGCCAGCGCTCTTCATGCTTCTTGCAGCTTGAGGCACGGGTTTTATTTGGCCATCGACCGGATCCATGGCTTTGCCAACCATGTTCAATGAGCTGGCGTCGCCTAAGAAGTCGTTGGCGGCTCCGAGGAGCATGTTGTTGCTGATATTCTCCAGATGGCCCCGGTACTTATACCAAGGACCAGCGGGCGAGATATGATCTGTCGTACATTTTCCACGCACCTTGATCAGGATGTTCATGTCACGCGCTTTGCCGACTTGCCATCCGTCAAATGGTGTAAGGAGTTGGAGTCTATCGCTGGAAGGGAGGATGTTGACTTTCAAGTCTGTTGTGTCCGATAGTACAGGAGGTTGAAAACAGTCGGCGCCTGGAGAGAAGGCCATCGGGAGCTCGGCAGCTTGAGGGGGCGTGAAACGGAACTTCTTGGGAGCACCATGAGGACCAGGTATGGGGATGTCATCAGTCATGGGGTTGAACGTGAGATTGCCAGCGAAGGCAAATGCTGCGGCAAGCTCAGGTGATGTGACAAAAGAATGAGTGGCCGGATTGCTGTCATGGCGACCTGTGAAGTTGCGGTTGAAGCTGGAAATGACCGAGTTCCTCTCGGCGTTCTTCACATCGACGTCTTCCCGATCCCATTGTCCGACACATGGGCCACAGGAATTACTCAAAACAACTGCTCCAGCTTGTCTGAGCGTATCGAGAATCCCTTCCTCCTCTGCCGTAGCACGGATTTGCTCACTTCCTGGGCTGACCAGGAACCGAGTCTTTGTCTTCTCTAGCCCAGCTTCCTTGGCTTGAACGACGAGATGGCGAACCTTTTCTAGATCTTCGTACGAGCTATTGGTGCAACTCCCGACAAGACTGCAAGAGATGTCTGACGGCCATGAGCTCTCGCTGACGTGTCGTTTGAATTGAGATAGTGGGTGTGCTAGATCTGGGGTGAAGGGGCCATTAATGTGAGGCTCAAGGGAAGACAGGTCTATCTCGATTATTTCGTCGTAATAGCGGTCGCAGCCCTCGTCTCCAACAAGAAGTGGCTGTTTGAAAATATCGGCATAGTTGGCGATATTCTTCCGATTCGTGGCTGATAGGTATCGTGACATGGCTTCAGAGTAAGGGAACACGCAAGTCGTTGACCCAATTTCGGCAGACATGTTGCAGACGGTTGCCATTGCCGTAGCTCCCAGCGTTTCGGTGCCTGGACCAAAGAACTCAATGACCTTGCCTTTACCTCCAGAAACAGTGAGGATACCTGCAAGCTTGCAGATTATGTCCTTTGACGAGCTCCATCCCTGGAGTTTGCCGGTCAGGCGCACGCCGCAGACCTTTGGACAGACGAGCTCCCACGGCATACCAGACATTACATCGACAGCATCAGCTCCACCGACACCGATGCCTAGCATGCCCATTCCTCCGGCATTCGGTGTGTGCGAGTCCGTGCCAATCATCAGGCCGCCTGGAAATGCGTAGTTCTCGAAGATGGTTGTGTGTATGATCCCCGCTCCTGGCTTCCAGTACCCGATTCCGTATTTCCTCGTCGCACTGCTGAGAAAGGCGTAGACCTCTTCGTGGTCGCTAGCGGCACGGGCGAGATCCTCCTTGTCACCTTTCTCGGCAACGATCAGGTGGTCACTGTGTACGGATGTCGGAACTTTGACGCGTGGAAGACCAGCGCTAATGAACTGAAGCAAGGCCATTGTTGCTGTGGCATCGTGACATGCTACTCGGTCGGGTCGCAGGCGCAATATTGTCTTGCCTCGATGTATTTCGTCGAGCGACCACCCATCGTTGCCGGGGACTAGGTGGCTGTATAGGATCTTTTCGGAGAGAGTCAGGGGTCGTTTATTGGACTTTCGCAGGTCATGAAGGGCTTGTAGTCGCGATCCATAATCCAATGGGTTGTACTAGGTAGGTCACGGTCAGACTTAGTGCTTTGGTTTTGACAGGAATTATACAAAAGACTTACCGGCTCCAAAGGACTTAACGGAACTTGTACAGATGCAGCTGGAGTTGCAAAATGTCTTCTCCATGCAACGTAAGAGGATTGTTTGAATGAGGAGCTCCCTTTCGACCTAGTTGCCTTCAACAGCGCTAACGACATGACTGCGGTTTCTATGCCTCAGGGCCAGTCCAGAGACCTTCCAAGGGCACGGCATCTTTTTCATTCTCCTTCCACTCGTACTGCGATACCAAAACCGTGCTGGTCATTGCGATGCCATGAACAATTCGTAGCAGCTCCTGCTTCAAGTCCGGACAGTCGAGAGGCCTGGGTAGCTCCGTTTAGAGCTCCGAAATTGGGGCATACACGGAGTAGTCCGGGAGCTGAGCAAGATCCAAAAACGGATTACTCCGCCTAACACCAAATGCGAGCCCAACCCCCGGAGCCATCCGTATGGATCACTCTCGTGGCCCAATTGATAGCGCATTCAAGCAGCTGGATCCTTCCAAGTCCCGGGAAATCCCAAGACGGCGCTGACGAGTGCCTACCTGCGTCATCGATATCCCGGGTTCGGGAAGTTCGCTATGTCGTAGGGATCGCTAATGCTAGTCAAAGGAAAGCTCCAGCTGAACTCAGACTTGTCGAAATCGGCAAGAAAAGTCTCAATTTCCGGAACATAGTCGTTCGTTGTTGAATGGAATGTAGGGGCGGGATAGACTCCCTGCCAATGTACCGGGTCGTGGGCATTCGGTAGCTCCATCGAGGCTCCCGCTATCTGGTGCCAGGGTGCGTCTGCGCCGTTGAGCGCTATGTGGGAAAGGTCGGACTGCTGCCCAGTTGCATCATAGACAGGTGCTCCTTCTGAGTTCTCAATCGCAGTCTCTCCGTCTTCCGCGCTGAGAGGCATGAAGAGTCTGGGGTTCTTTGATGGCATATTGCCGGTGTAAAGTTTGCGGACTGTGAGGTCGACAATAGCCCCGAAACTTCTCTGTCCCCTTTTGACAGACGGCCACCATTCCCCACCAACTGCCAAGAGACCTGAACAAGCGCGCAAACTTTTGGAAAGGTCGGCCGTGGACGCGCTTTGACGGATGATGGGGCACGTCCAGAAAGAATAGATCAGCGTCGCCCCGGCCGCGAAAATGTTCTGGACCGTTCGCCATCCATGATGAAGACCTTGCATATCGTGCAACATTTGGTAGTCTTGCAGAATGGACGAAGCATTGTTGAAGCAGATCTGGAGAGACTCGGGAGGAGGGTTTCGAATGACCTGTGAAGGCTGGTACAGCATCACCATCGTGGTGTGATACTTGATCTTCAGCTTCAGCTTCCAGATGCGACGCTGTCGGTTGTCAACACCGGGGAAATCAAAAGATTCTTCAGACACCTCTCGCCACCAATTCACGAGCTCTTGTTTGATTCTTCCTTGTTGGTCAGTCGGGTTTCGAGGCATTGGAAACCAGGAGGAGTCGCCGGGCAGATGGTAAAGTTGTTGTTTGACGTCGGAAATCAGTCTATCAAGTTCGAACTGGTGTCGTGCATATCTCAGGACAGCCTCCGAGAAGGAGGATGGAATCGTGTTGAGGCTGTTCGTATTGCCTGTGCGTGATAATTGGGGCTCAGGCATCATAATATCGAATGTTTCGTCGCGGAAGCCAAGGGGCCGGCCTTGAATAGATGATATGGATCTATCATTGTTAGTAAATCATATAAATCAAGCACTACTCGAAACTTGCCTGTCCAAAGAGTATATGGTGAAGAAAGTCAACCTCTTAATTTGCTGATTCTCAAATTCACTACTTGGCTGGATGGCTGCAGGTGGTTCCCTGTGAATCCCTAGTTCCACGCAATGCGCCAATGCAATATGGATGAGCGTGAAAAGATTGACCTCTGCAGGGGTCAACATGCTGTGTATAATCAGAGTTACCAAAGCTTGAATCGACGACAGAGATATCTGCGAGAAACAATCCTTCGAGAAATGTAGAGCGGCACGGTAGAACCTTTCGGGAGGAAACTCGTAGATCCGCGACCTGATCTTCATGATAGCTGCGATATTGAACACCATGAAGAGTGTAAAAGCAACAACGGGCATAGGCACCGCTTGCATACCTTGATCGCTCGGGGTGACCTGCCATCCATTCCACCTAAACGCTTGAACGGAACTTGGCCAGCCATTTGGCAAGGGATCTTCTTCCAGCGAGCATTCAAAAGTCGCATAAAGAGCCTCAATGGCACTCAGTAGAGATGTCGCTTCTAAAACTGGGTAGTCGGGATGTATCCAACGAATGTAGGTGTGTACGAGTTTGATGGCATCTTCTTTTCTTGGAAGTTCCTGCGCGTAGACGAGCGTCAGCTTTATCGTAACAAAAATGAAGTCTGCAGCCCCTTTGCATAGAGAAGAGATGCATACGAACCTGCCGTAGACACACGTGCAAGGCACGATTATATTCTTGCGAGACGTTGCTTGGGATGGTGCTGTCGTGCCATTCAGATGCTGGTCCCTGGGCTTGGACGTCATCAATCAAAGCAACCGGTGTTGAGCCTGCACTTGAGGGAGACGCCCCAATGAGATTTGTGAAAAGAACACCGGAACTCGATCCCAGATAGTGCTTTTGATCCGAATCCGAGTTGAGCGATAGCATCCCTAAATTCCTGGCGACCGAGTGTGCACGATCCGGGAACTCTTCGTCGTGGTCGTTGGATCCCGCGGCCTCCGCGGTACGCTTGAGACTGCCTGATCGTTGCGACCCCAGAACTATAGTCCCTCCCACCGGCACCGGTTGACTACATCCGCGGCCGGACCGGGGAGACGATGTCGAGATATTGTCCTCATCGTAGTCTCCACCTCCGACGACCCCCGATCCTTTCGGGTCCGGAAACGCGTCTATTTGCGGACCGCCTGCTATGTCGACGTCAGGTAGCCGCTGTTTGATTATTTCCTCTAGCCATTGAATTCTAGCACGTGCCGCGCTCGCAAAGCTATACGTGGATAAGGATCATCAGTCATGGACTCCTCTAGCCGTCTTTGAGTACCTTGCAGGGCAGATGGGACTCCAGTATGAAGCGCTCAGAATGGATCCAATGAGGGCGCAGTAGGGGCCATGGCAATTATGGCATTCACACTTACTTGCGAGGAACCAACAAACGCGAGTTCTGACTATCAACATCTAGGCAAGTTTCGCCGGCTTTTGCGCAATTCGTGCAGGCAGGGACTTCTCCGTCGCACTGAAAAGTTGAGAATGAGCAACCCGAACAGTTTGAGCCGGAGTAACGCGGCGATGGTCCCAGTCATTGTCCAGGCTAGTAAGACCAAACCCCAGCGCGGGATTTGATCTGACTGGAGCCGCAACGCGGGTCGGGGATTATGAGAGAGTCTCACCTTTATTCGCCTTGTGCGACAACGACGACAGGCGAGCCGGACCTTCTTGGGCGGATTTGCCCGTGTAGCCATCTCTAAATATGAAGTTGTCGATCTTCTCTCGTTCTTTGAAGGTTATGTCCCACGGTGTGAAGGTAAGCGACTTGGAATGAATTGGCGAGGAAATGAATGGAAAAAAGGCATAGCCCGGGGCAGCTCCCGACAATGGCAAGGCACGTAGCTACTAAACAAGCTAGCACTCACGTTAGGTAAGTCAAAGTACCCACTTATGGGCCCCCCCCCCTTTTAGGCCCCCCCTAAAATCTCGCCCAGCCCCCCGATTAAAACCCTACCCTTAATATATAAACCACCATAACAATTGTAAAAATCGTCTAAATGCATTTCTTTTTGGCACAATTATCAATCGATATGTAATAGTCCTATATACTGAAAATGAGCTCTAACGGGCTCTTGATGCTATTGGGAACGGTCTCTTTATTAGGAGGGCCTCGGTTGAGTTCGGAATTCCTAGGGTAATACTTTAGAATCGTAGGAAAGGCCACTAGACGAGGGCGAGGGTATTTGCAGACCTTTAGAGGCTTCTTTTATAGTAGGAAGACTAGCTAGCTTAGTGGGTTCGAATTTAGTATGCCCTGGGTGTTATACTAACTTATTAGTAGGTTAGAGAATTTACTAAGCGAGTTCTGACGTCTTAGGGGGATACTAAACTACTTAGAAAGAGATGGATTGACGCTTTTATTAAAAGGAATTTATTAGTAAGGGTTTAGAGAAGTCGTTTAATAGATTCGCGCCGTGTTAATAGAGCTATGACTAATATAATTAAATTATAGTTTAGATTACTTAATATACTAGAGATTAGTAGTATTAAATAGGCTAATAGGTATAATATGAATAAGACTAGTATAATAGAGGGTAAGGGAGCTAATGGGCTAGTCTTAAGTATAGTAGAGGCTATAGTAGTACGAAAAAAAGAGCCTAGTTCGCGTACTTAGGTAACGATTATTGAGTATATTTTTACTAATAGTAGGTTTATTAAACTACTGGTTATTTATAAAGGAAAGTCGGTGTAGTAGTAGTGGTTTCTATTTTAACTTAACTTTTATAATAGTTAGAAGTTTATAGTAATAGATAATGGCTAGACGACTGACGAGACTACCCTCTACTAGTTAAAAGAAGTGTTTTTGCTATAGACTAAGACCCCCCTTATTAGGGGGCTTAGTAAGCTGAACTAGCCTCGATTATTGGTACTGGATAGGTATGGGAGTTATATGATAATAGAATTTATATAGGAGTGCTATAGAAATAACGTCTACTTATTATTCTTGTTACTATATGCCTCTTATGTCCTCTAGCCGTTGGATATAGCTATTTTTAGTCTTATTAAATCCTATTATAAAAAGGAGCTTAGTAAGGAGGATATAGTAGATAATTTTATTATTATTGGAAAGCGGTACTTCTTAAGCTGCTACTAGCTTACTCGTTTAGCTAGTTTAACGTCGTTAAATATACGAAGTGGGTAGAAAGTAACTAGACTATAGCTACTTAATATAACTAAGCTACTTCTTAACTTAATAGTCCTACTTATATAAGTTATACTATTTAAAAGGGGTATAGAAGCTGGGTAGATGACTAGTAATATTAGTAGACTACTTGACTGGGTATTAGCGACCTCTGTTGTTAACTAGTTAACTCCTAGGAAGGCTAGCGAGCTTAGCGACCACTTAAAGCTATTTATAGAGCTTAGTCTAGATAATAATACTTAACGACTACTATTTAGAAAGGTAAAAAAGGTATTTAGCGAGCAGGCCTACTACTTAGCTACATCTCGGTACTAAATTCGACTTCTAGAGGTAAGGGTTGAGCGCATGAGGCCTAGGAAAAAGAAGAGTATATTAATAAACCTAAATACTAGGTTCGCGAGCATCTAGGATATATAGAAGGCTTAGGAGGACTCTAGCGACCGTTTAGTTAGTCCTAATCGACTCGTAGGGGTCGAATTACCTAGGGATAATAATAACTGTATTATTGTGGTAGTAGAAGATAGTTAATTAATTGATTGTAGTTGGTGGCGATGTTTTGATGCTATGTTTGTTGGGGGGCCCAAAAGGGGGGGGGGCCCATAAGTGGGTGCTTTGACTTACCAAGTACATTTACTGGATCCCGGGAGGGGTGTTTCTCAGGGGGCTTGTCACGTCACTTTCCGCCTTTCACCCAACCCCTGGCGGGATGTGGCTTGGGCTGCTTTTTCGGGATAGACAGACAGAATTCGCGGGAAACATACATCAGGCATACCGGGGGAGAATCACACAGAATCATACAAGGGCTTTTACAAGAGCTACAAGGAGTTCCAGCTACTGTTCGAGCCTTCATCAAGACCTTATACAGAGGAGCATACCCGGAAGCAACGATAGCTACCCTTTGCAACGGATACCTATAGGTACTGCACTTTGGACACTCGGGAAAGTCCTAAGCGAACGGTACAACGCCTATGTTTCCTTGGAAGACCTCGGTAGTATGTGGAGAAGCTGGCTTAGTGCCCAACTGGCAAACCTGGATCGGTAAGCGTACCTGTACTCCATACTTTTGCATCGGACACTTTGTTGAATCTAATCAGGGCTGGCGGACGCTGGAGTCTGGACGCTGTCGCTCCTTCGCCAAGAGCATTCGCAATATGTTCTGCTTGACAAGACGAACCTTGTCAACCCGCCGGCGGTATTCTCGTTGAAGCTTTACGAAGAATTGTTCTTCCGTTAACAGAAGGTTTCACCGCTCGGGTCTCACTACTGCATGCTCCAAATGACGGGTGGATTCCCTGGGAGTCGGAGATCTATTAGTTCATGGTCCGTGGACCCGATACGGCCTGGAGGCTGGAGTTACCAACGATTATTCATGCTTGAATAGACTCTACCACCTCATCCCAAGATAGTCTATACTTTGTTTACAGTTTGAACTACCTTATTCTGCCGGATAACGTTCGATAGGGCACGGCAGATGGTGGAGCAAATCAGCGTGTAAAAAAATGTGCTTCGGGGCATCGGGGAGCACGCTGGCCGTAGGCCCTCCGTGCACAACACCTCCCGATAGCCTAGTCGCACGATTGATCCACCGTCATCGCACTACCGGCCTTGGTGTTATAGGTAGACTTCTGTGATTTTGATGTTCTAGCTTCCCGCTGGGACTTGTCAGTTCGCTGCCATGCTGCCCAAGTGAGCTTTACGATCTTCCCGTCAACCTTGATGAAATCCTTCACCTAGGAACCCCTCGGCAAATTTTATTCTCGCGGAATCGCACTTGATGAATCGCCTCCCGCCTCGAAGTCGATACATCTGAGACGCAGAACGCACTGGCGATGGGCGTATAGTAGGCTACAGCATCGCGGAGCGGCTTGATTTTATTCCAAGGATGGCTGGGACGAAAATTCCCAGTGGGGAGTGGAATGAACTCAAAAGCTGCATTGTTCATTACGGGTTTACCTTTGTACTCGGTCGGACGCTCGCTTGGCTTTTTTTGGCACGCAGGAGTGTGACTTAATCTGACTCGCGGTGACGGGAATGAGTGCTCCGCCGGATGTAAGTGAGCTTGATGTATCACGTCTCTAAGCAGGAACACAGGGCCAGTGGCGGCTGCACCAGAATAATCATTGAATGAAAAGAGGCCGGAGGTGTAATTATGCGGCTCTATGTCGATTTGAAGAGGCCTAGGCGTAGGTCAAGGCAATACCAGTGGTCATCTTCGTGTAGCGATGATGCATGAACTAGCAAGCCTTCGCTATCCATTTTTGCTGGCTAGCATGTGGGTTATTGGTTGAATTAGGGACACTGGCCTACTACTCCGTAGTACGGTAGGCTATCCGTAGACCGCTGAAGCTCGATGTAGAGTTTATGTACAGCTCGGATTAGCCCCAATTCGCTCTTTACAGGCCACCCCTTGTGGCTATTCTAACGTACGTTACGGAGTAGAGCGGATGAATTGACACGCAAAGTCCAAAGCTTAGAATCCAAACCCCAGACCGTAGCGTCAGACTGGCAAGGCCAGGGAGGGGAAAAGGGGAGCATTCCACGCATCGCGTGGAATCCACGGTTTCCACGCATTCCACGGAGACGCTCTGACCAGTCTCCTTTGGAACAGGTTTGTCTTGTTACCACCTGGCACCCGTACGGGGTACTCGTTTCCCGTACGGATATTGACGGAGCAATCCGCCAGCCGGATACTTCTCACACGGATAGCTCCTTTGGAGGAACTTCCTCGATTGTTCACCTGCAGACAATTGATGATCTTGTCGCGTGAACGTGTCGAAGATGCGTTTTTGTGTCTGCTTTCTCTAACTACCGTAGTGCTGGCATAAACCATCGTCTCCGTGCTACTGTTACCACCGCTCGGAGGAACCCGAGTGAAGATGACTGTTATATGAATGATGGCGTCGTTGGCTGGGAGAGCCCTCGTCGCCGATCAAAGCCACGAGTGCATTGTCGTTCACCAGTACTGGCAAACGTTCTCGCATTGACTGATTCCTTTGCGATGCCTCCTTCTGCTACATCGACTGAGGAGAGACAACCCGTTCTGCTCCCGCGCGGCGGATGGGATACTCATCACCATATCTTCGAACGTAGGTCTACCTGTCATGCGAAAATTTCTTTCTGGCGGCCAGATCATCAACGAAAAACCCGCTAATTCAAGCACTTTCGTCGTCGTCAAGCCGAATCTTTCCCTTACAGCCCAAACAGGCATCTAACTCCGCCGCCCGCGACGATTGCCGCGTTTGAACAATTCAAAAGAAGCTTAGGCATCACGAGATCTGTACTCACACATGGATTATCCTACGGGAATGACTGCACGTCTCTCAAGGCGTTCATCCCCCGGCTCGGAAGCCAAAAGACTCGGGCCGTTGGCGTTATCGATCCTGAAACGACGACAGACGAGGAGTTACTTGCGATGCACAGAGCGGGTGTCCGCGGCCTTCGCGTGAACCTGTATCGGTACAAAGCTATGGAAGATGTCGAGCTACAGAAAGTTGCTCTGCGTTCGCATCTGAACAGGATTACAGACCTATCGCTCCCATGGAGCTTGACGATGACGACGACCCGCACCGAGTTCTGGACCACGCTGGAGCCCTTCGTCCGAGACGTCATAGTCTCGCAAGGCGTCATCTTGGTTACAGATCACTTTGCGTTGCTGAACGCGACAAGTCTGCTGCCCGGTGAACATCGCGAGGACCCGACGACCCAGCCAGGATTTGACGCCGTGATGAGACTAGTGAGGGACGGCCATCTGTGGGTAAAGCTGAGCGCACCGTATCGCATCAGCGACGACAGCCCAGGATACTCGGATGTGGAGTTTCTAGTGCGCGCATTTGTCGATGCGAACAAGCACCGGGTGCTGTGGGGCAGCGATTGGCCGCATACGCCGCGAATGAAGGTCCGGACACACGAGGCTGCCATGAGGGAGACGCCGTATCTCGAGGTAGATGATGCGGCGTGGCTCAAGAGCCTGAGGTCTTGGCTCTCAGATGAGGAGTGGGATCTGCTAATGGTTCAGAATCCAAGCCATATCTTTGGACGGTGAAGAATTTGATGAGATTGGCCGCGGTCGAACCGGGGCTCGAGAAGAAGCAACATGTCGTGAAAGTCAAAATCAAGGGAATGGTCTAGCGATCAAGCTTTTACAGTGGCGATAAGACGTTGTATAAAGCGTGAGAACTTCTGGCTGCACTGCAAGCTGCTAAATATTACCCACCTTACAACAGTCATTTATCTTTCTGGACGCTTTTGATGAGGTCTCCCATGGAAGCCCCCTTCTTCAATTCGACAAACATCTTCTCATCAACTTCGGCCCTTTCCTGGCATAGAGCTACCACCTTCTCGACCAGAGAAACAGGAGTAACCACGACGCCGTCGGCATCGCCCACCAGAATGTCGCCGGGATTGATCCAAAGGTCTCCCTTGAATTGGAGCGGCACGTTGATTCTTGAAGCCCGTGTGAAAGTGTTGGATCCGAGAATCGAAGTGCCTTGCGCAAACACCTAACCAAAGCAGTCAGGTTTTTTCATCCCCTCCTTTACTGTCAGAGGAAGAAAACTCACGGGGAATCCCATTTCGTTGTGCTCTCCAACGTCTCGCATGCGACCATCAATAACCACAGCCTCCGCCCCGAGATACTTTGCTCTCGTAGACATCAGCCCGCCCCAGCAAGCCGAAGGCAAGCCCTTGGGTTGCTGGACGTACATAATGCCGCCCTCCTGATTGTGGTCGACGAAGTGCTTGTCTAGCTTGGGCGCCGCGGTATTGCTCATCTCCACCATCTCGACGGTCACTGCGGGGCCGAAGATGCGTCCTGACGCGCCCGGCGAGAACATGCGGATCCCATCAAGAAACCCCCCTTGGGGGTATTTGAGCTTGACAAGAGCATCCCCAATCTGACCCAAGTGTTATTGACTACTTTGATACAATATTGATAAGATTTGATGGCTGAAGCCGGCCGATCGACGACCTTGGCCAGAGATGCACTTACGTCACAGGAGGTGAACTTGCGAAGAGCTTTCAGAGCGCGAGGGGACATTATGGCGTTTTGTGTAAGACTAGTAATTGAACAGCTCAGGCCCAGATGTTTCACTGATTGAATCTTGTCAATTCAAAGTTCTTCTCATGACCGATTACATATATAAGGCAAGTTCGGGGTGTATTCGAGTGCCTGCCGGCGTACCGAGCGAAGCTCCGACCTTGAAGACGCGGGGTTGCGGGCCAGCACCGAAAGCTCGGACCATTATCTAGGCCATCAAGGGCGGGATTACTCCGTTTCCTGGGTTCGGTCCAAGGAGACATCCGGCCACAGATGTAGTGACGGGCAAGGAAGATAGAACATCAAAGTCTTCTGGGCCAGCTTTTAGTGGCCAGATGTAGAGAAATTCTTAGCTGGAAATGAGTTGAATAAAAAGAAACAAGATCTAACTATCAGCCAGTAGCTTGAGACCTCTGTTATTGGGGGTCACTAGTCCCGGCATGAGGGGCAGTGGAGGGAAGAACGAATGAGCTAAGGGACTGACTTCACATGATTGTTATCAGATTCTCATCTTACAAAGGCCGTGTAATCGATTGCGAGTGGTGCTCCTTGGGGCGACAGGCCATTGCTTTACCTCAGTAACGATGAGTGAGTTTTCGGTCCTTTCGGTGAGTCTCGGTCAATCTCGGTCAGTGACATCGGTCAAGGGTAGACAAAACGTAGCCCTAGTTGATCCACAATAAGCATTGAAGAACATTTTCCACATGGCTGAGACTCCAGTATACTCACTTTGGAGTCGTTACTGTATGTTGCTTGCAAGATGATGAAGGCTTACCAACGTTTCATGCTGCTATGGCTCCTTCATGTTCTTCTTCATAGGTTGGTAGATAACTAAGTTACACGACGAGGCAAAAAGCCTGCGCTCAGCGTGTGCATATACTGACCCCCACCTGATTTGAACAGATAACCTTTCGATAACATCTCGAGGAGTCTCAAGCTGGAGTCGAACGCGCTACCGTTGCGCCAGAGGGCCGATGAAGCTATACCCACATCGGAGATGAGTGTTGTGGATGCCGAGTTTTCGGTGTGGGGGCGGTTATCTCTGACACAGGTGGGAAAGTAAATTGAAGCGATCTAGCCTCGAACACTGGTGTTCGCGGGCCTGGTATTAATAGAGAAACCACACACGGAATGCCAATGGAAGCAAAATCAGGTCGAGTACTTTGAGTATATAACGATCCCACTCTTCCACCTCCTCAAATCAAACGGGAGCGATGGCCTGAAGGCTTCCGCCTGACAGGGCAATACATTATGCAGTGCGGAAAGAAACACTCTTAAATCCCCTGATGTGCAGAATTTAATCGCGAAATTACTACGTCACAATGTTGATGCAGAGAACTAAATGGTGAGCACCGATTAGGCAATGCTGTCAGCTTTGTTGCAACCGTTTGACGGACTTGAGCACTGGCGATGCTAGCCACCACGTGCTAATGTAAAAGGCAATGCCAATCGAAACAAAAGATCAATAATGTTGCATCGATTGCACTCGTGCCCTTGGTGCACTTTCTTGGCAATGGCTCGAATATGAATCAGCGACATCCATACAAGCTTTGGGCGTGTCGAACATGTAGCCATCAGGAGACTGGCAAGTCGGGCGGTATGCAAAGCTGAGCGATTCCCAAAATGGCTATTAGAGGTCGCATAAAGACCCCAACAATCTCAGGCATCCAGGAACTGTGCCTCTCCAGGGCTTGGAACTAATGCCGTCATTGGCGGCATCGGTGGCTGATGGATCTGACAGTCATATGCTAACCACATTAGGCAATTGGAAGTTCATTCAGACATAGTCTAGCACTTTACAGAAGGGGTTGCTGGCCCAGCGAAGACGCGAAGACGCACGTGGAATCCTCCGCCATCCATCAACACATCGAGACCTGTCCAATGAGACCTGTCTGCCACGATTTCAGAGCGTGTCTGCCTCATCTAGCCCCTGCTGAGGTTTTCTCATATCATGTCCTTTCTGCACCAGTTTCCTGCTCTAGCCTGTGACGTGTGCAGCTCCCTGGCCAGACGAAGCCTCTTGAATGTCCCAAAAGAGCAAATGTCAGGAAGGCGTCCTCGCTTACCACCATGACCGTTGGGCAGATATATCTGTATCGCTTAGCCCTATAGCTATGCTGACATGGAGGTGCCATTCTTGGCATAAAGTTGTCCCTGACTCCTGGCTCTTTATCGATCTCTATGGCCCTTCAAATATCTTGTGAGATGCCAGTGATTCTTCTGGGAATTAGTTCGACATATCCAAGGATTCCATCTTCTTCTTTTCAAAACAATTTGCCAGTAATTTCCTCCCATAAGTATCGCAGAAGACCACGTCACCGACTCCCACGACTATACTCCTCCTTATATCACCGCACGATCGGCAGCCTGACGCCGACTGGCCGCTCAATACTGCCATGGCGGCACCAAAGTCCGCATTATGGCGCCAAGTCGGTGTGCTCTCGAATAAAAACTTCATCATACTTCTCGCCCGCCACCCCGTCTCAACTATCTACACCGCAATCCTTTTACCTATCATACTCACAGTGTATCTTGGCATTGGCAAGAATCTCAACGGCCCATCGAACGAGTTTGGAATTGCAGATTCTCGACCTATAAGATCACTAGCGGAAGGCCTGGCCGCTTCTGATGGCTCTCGTGACACTGTGGTTCTCGTCAATAGCGGACTATCAGGCGGCGATGTAGACCGCGTAATAGCGGCAATCTCTGCTCAGGTTTCTGCAGCCGGGAAAATTTCAACAACAATCACAAATCCTTCCGATCTTGGCTCCATTTGCCGCTCATCTTTCCGTGCGACTACTACCTGCTACGGTGCCGTCGTTTTCCATTCTTCCCCCACCGAAGGTGATGGAGGCCTTTGGAATTACACGTTGCGAGGGGATGGAGTCTTTGGGTCATCATTCAAGGTCAACAACGACGATAGTGATGTTCAAGTGTATACGCTCCCTCTTCAACATGCCGTCGACTCTGCAATTGCCAGTCTGAACTCGACAAATGGTAGTTCAGCGTCTCTCAAGAATGTCCAGGAATGGGGTTTCACCGACGAGACCGAAGACGAAAGACAAGCCAGCGTCCGGAGGAAATACCAAAAGACTTTCATCGATTATCTGGCAGTCTCCTTCATCCTAGCGCTGATTGGCGTTAGCTACCATCTGCCCGGTCACGTCGCAACTGAGCGAGAAAAGGGGCTCTCTCAACTCATTGACTCAATGATGTCCACTCGCTATGACTGGGAGCCCCAGGTCATCCGCATGTTGTCAAATTTCTACTCTTTCGCCACAATCTACTTTCCAGGCTGGGTCGTAGCATCAGTCATAGCGAGGAGCATGATATGGAGAGAGACTAGCATTGGTATTGTTCTAGTCTTCTTCATCTTTGGTGGCCTGGCTCTTACTTCGCAAGCCATCCTCGGCGCGACATTCTTCAAGAAGGCTCAACTTTCCGGTGTCATCAACTCTCTGGTCTATATTCTTCTGGGTGTTTTGGCACAGGCACTCCCCAACCCAAACACTGTCGCCGTCGCTGTCTTGAGCCTGCTATTCACCCCATGCGCCTTTGTCTTCTTTGTAAGATCCATGGCGCGATTTGAGGGCGAGGGACAACCGATGAATCTTCTCAAGACGCCACCAGGAAGCAATTCTACCCTTCCAGGCATTGCAATCTGGATCTTCCTGATCCTGCAGTTCCTTTTCTACCCACTGCTTGCCGCCTACGTTGAACGTCAAATTCATGGAGTCGGCTCCGAGAGTCGTAAAATTTACAAGGGTGACGGTGTCCGGCCACAAGAAGCTATAGTCATTGACGGCTTGACCAAAATTTATCGCCCGAGCTTTCTTCGACGGCTGTTCTCTTTCATATCTAAGCCTCGTGCTCCTACAGTGGCCATTGATCGTCTTAATCTGACGGCAAAGAGGGGCCAGATCCTAGCACTTCTCGGTGCCAATGGAAGTGGAAAGAGCACGACTCTCGATGCCATCGCTGGGATCAGCCGGTTCAACCATGGCGGT